TAGCTTAAATCCTTACAGGAATAGTTTGTGCTGCATGTTGGTACCAGAGAGGTTGGACAGTTATCTCAAGTCCTTTGGGGGACAAAATAATATCAAGAGGTGTCTTGACTTTCCTTTAGGTGATCTGGTAGCTTAGATGTAGCACGGTCAAGCAAAGGAAATTCCTTCCAGCTGCTTCTACATGATATTTGTCTTTGTCTTAAACCAAGAGGTGCATGTCCATATTGAGAGCAGTTTTCTCTTTTCTTTTACCTGTCTGACACAAACTATTATCATATTTAAAGTGAAAGTGAGCTACAAAAACTTTCATCAAGGCTTTGCATCTGAAAGCCACTAAAAAATGACCATCATTGCCATCTCTCTTCTAAATTTTCCAAATGTTAATCAGTTGAAGGACAGAGAAACCTTACATTTCATGTACAAATAAAATTTCAGTATCATCCTCACCTACAAAGTTCAGATGGGTTTATCTTTCCTTTCAATGATGCCTAGTTATATGGAGCCTGTTAGAATGATCAGTTCAGTTGAAACTTCCTCACATGAGGTAATAAACTCATAATCAACCATTAACTTCTTTCACTAAATTTATCATGCACAAAAACAGGCCAATAAGGTGAAGATCAGGGAGTGGACCATGCTCAGATATGGGGATTTGCCCACTGCAAGTTCACTGCAATTGCTACCCAACCCATGGACATGTTTAGTTGGAAATAAACCCACTGAGAACAATGAGATTCCCTTCTTTGTAAAATGATAATGCTGCCTTTTCATCTTTGCTTTGTGAAATTGTCCCCCAAGGACCCATACTTAGATTTGGAGCTGATCTCGTGCCATGGGCAGGTTCACTGGAAACTGGATTGCTGAAAACGAATGTAAATTGCCTTTTCATCTCTGGACATCTTGTGTTTTGGAAAGCCACAAGAACATGGCTGGTCCTAAACTGAAAGGTACTACTGCAGAGAATTTAACACAGTTGAGGAAAGCCAGTCCTTGTACTAGATGAGAGCCATTAACTTTTAGAGTATCTCTTCTTCATGATGACATTAAGTGGATCAGATCCCTATTGCACAAAAATAAAGGGCTTGAAGTCCTGCCAAATTTTGGCATCTGGTAGCTTTTATGGAATGTTACATCTGCTCACAATAACAGTGTAAGGGAATTGAGTGCTCCTAGAACCACAGGTTCCATTGTCACCATTTGAAAAGCAAAGGCCACTCTTTTTTCAGCCTCCTCTTAGGATAGCATTTTTTAAAAATGGTTGGCCTAATATGGGATGACCAAAGAACCACCTTGGGTCTGATATTATTCTATGCCAGATATTACATCTACTCTCAATTTTCATCATCTAGCTGGGGATCTGTGAAAGTAGCATTGGAACCACTTTTGAGAACACAAACATTCCTCCCCAAATCAATCATGATCCAGAAATGTGTTGTCCTGCCTTTGGCGATCCTGACTCTCCAGTGTGTACCTCGTAGAGATAAGCAAAGCTAAGATTGAACATAAAAGTGACTGTACTGCTGTAAGCTGGTCACCAGTTAAAAGCTGCCCTTTGTAGGGGCCAACAAAAACACCAACCCATTGACACCCTAGACAGCTGTGTGGAGGCAGGATAGTTGCTCTTCCTGTGTCGCTGTGCCGAAAATAGTAGTCCTCATTCAATAGCCAAAATAACCAAATAACCAATAACCAAAATGCAGTCCCACGAACCTTTCAAATAGACGTTGACTCACACCACCCTTTTCGCCAGTGTAAGTTCAGCTGGGTTGCCGGATCACGTGACTGAGCTAAACAAAGTTAAGACCCAGCATATGTCTCCCATGCCCAGTCCTACCGCTGTCACTTTCCCAGAATGCCCGTTTTTCAAGGTTCATGCAGCCTAAAACCCAGGCTCCAGGATGGAGATATTGATTTTAATTATCTACCCAAATCTTTAGCTACAAATTTCCAGTAATAATTATTTTTAAAGGATGGTCCATGAGAGGTTGGTTTATACAGTCCAATAGGAAGTTCTCCTATGCAAGCAACATTGGAATGCATGGAGACTATGCAAAACCACAAGTGCTCTTCATTTTGGTAGGCATTTCCCTGTAGGTTGTGCCCCACAGGGCAAAACCATCAGCTATCTTTCATGACATCCAAAATCTGCCATCTCAGGCAGCTGCTGCCTTGCTGCCCCTTATAGGAGGGTCGAGCTGCCTCTAAATCCCACCCATAAAGGAAGGGAGATAATATCCGAAAGATAGGTGAGAGCCTTCAGAGTGAGAGCATGCAATTAGATAATAGCCCAAGGACTGAGTGATCCGATCAAGATTAAAGGTAATGCATTTCCTATGAATGGACATCAGGCAATGAGCTGCAGTAATCCCTGCAAAGAGAATACAGTTCAAAGAGATGAATGGAGTGAGAGTGGGGAACCGGAGAGAGCCCAAGACCTTGAAAAAGACGTCAGCCAGCTTTTGCAATCAATAAGCAAGCATCCCTGGGAATGACACAACCTTGATCAATGAGTCCAAATGACACACATTATACAATGATGCTAAATAGAAAAATATTCTTCTCTGTAATAGGCATTCTAGCCATGCTGTTAACTAGCCCTATTTGTATGACCCTTCAGTTTGGAAATATTTGTGGTGGCTAGTTTGGTACTAATAAGCAACACCGATGCCTTAGGGGAAACACTGAAAATAGCAATAGTAGCACATTAAAAGTGATCATGGTGGCAGCAGATTGTTGAATCTGAGTGTGGAAGCAGTCTCAATCAATGTCTTTAAAAGTTATTCAGGAGAGTATGTGTGTGTGAGTGTGTGAGTTGTGTGTGTGTGGCTTTTTTCCGCTGGAACTCACCAGGACTCAGTTCCAGCACTTATCAGGTGGGCACCATTGCCATTATAAGAGAACAAGGGATGTGTTCATGGTGAATTCCGGCACCTCTTTTTTGCAAAAAAAAATAGCATGGTGGGGTATAATGCAGCTGAGACAAGATCAACCACATAATAAAAGTGTCCAGTACTGCCACCAGAATTTTTGCTTTTTTAACCAAAGTACCTGTTTAAGCAGAGTTGAGAAAAGCATTCACTAGATGTGCAGATAATTATAGACACAATGAGTGGTACAGTATTCAACATTAGTCCTCCTTTGAGTAAACCTGTTGAAATTAATGGACATGGCTAACAAGTTCTTTAATTTCAATGGCTCTGCTCTGAGTAGGATTTAGGTTGATTGAATGCAGCCCAATATTACACAACACATTTTATGCTGTTTGGTTAACTCTAAATCTATTTAAAAGAAGTAGAATGCTATATATAAAGCCTGTTCTCCTGGCATCCACCAAGCCCACAGCTGCCAAAACTATGGTTAGCCCTTGTCTGTGTGCAAATTCACGTCAAAACCACTTAATCCTTTTAGCAGGAGAAGCGTCAGGGTTGCTATCATACACCCCCACCCCCCACAAACAAAATAATTTTGAACTCTGGTAACAGAGCAACCATTAGAAGTACACCACACAGGACAATCAAGGAATTTAACAAGGGTTATTCCAGACAGAACAATTCAGAGTCAGGAAATAACCCACAACTTCAGACTGTGCAAATCAATATTACATATGCCCAAGGTATAGAAAGATGCACTCTGCACATGCACTTTTGATTTAGAAATCAAGGAGCCTGCACATCCAGAAATCTGTTAACCAACTACATAGCAATTCTATGTGTGAAAAGCTGCATAAAAAATGTCTGCCCTTTTTCTTTCACATTGCAGATAATGCTCTCTACTACACACTCTCCTTAAAGTCTCTTTAATGTTTCAAAGGAATCCATATAAGTGGTCCCTCCTCACAGCTGATCAATCTTAATTAATTTCAAGAGGCCGCAGATGGTAAAATGATACTCTCAAACAGCTCCCTCAGGAATCTCTCTTCCTACTGCTCATTATAAAAAAAAACCAGAAGAGAAATTATACTTTCTTTGGCATTTCTTCTACTCTTGTAACTGATCTAGAGAAAGTTGAAATTGAACCCAGGATTTCTGCAAACAGGAGCCCATCCCTTAGGAAAGTCCTGCATTTCCAATGCAGTGCAAACAACTTTTGTGTGTTTGGTTAGATGCAATCTTTGATTTATTTCAGGAGAAAAATGCAAATGAAACCTGTGTTGCCAGCAGTTTGAAAGATACGCACAAATAAAGAAGCCTTTGGAATATGTAGTATATAAGGCACTGTGGGTGGGAGAGAGATGAATTAAATAGGGCAGAAGAAGAAGATCTTGCTCACAGAAATGGGATCTGAACTTTTCTTGCATGGGAAGACTTACTCGCTAGCCTTTAGGACCTAGAGCAGTAGCTTTCAGATATCCCATGTAGGGTACCTTTTGCAGGATACATCTGGCACATGGCAGAGGTTTCTGGGGACTGTTTTAAGGCACATGCGTAGTTCACATGGGGCACAGCTGGATTCTATTGTTGCTCTGTTTGAACAGCACTAGCCTATAAAAGTCTAATCTGAGCCAACAGGGGCTTGATCACATAGGAAGATGAACATACGGTGCTGCCTTATACCGGCAGTCCATTGGTTCATTTAGCTTGGTACTGTCAACACTGGCAGAAGATCTCCAGGGTTTCTGCACAGGGCATTTCCCAGTCCCGGCTGGAGGTGCCAGCCTAAGCGTGGGCTCCTCCCTGATCTTCAATATGGGTGGGGGACAGGCGGTAATTTAAGGTATACAGAGAATGTGCTCAGGAAGCATTTATTATGAATCTTTGTTCTAATTTCCCTTGGAATGTCTGAAGACAGCACAATGCCCAGTGTAGCTAAGGGAGGACAAGCAGGTTCTGCTTCTGATGTCACATGTCAATAAGGACTCAGACATCCAGTTACTGGAACAGGAATACTAGAAACTGCCTTATACGATGTCAGATCATCCTTGGTCTATCATCTAGGTCTGTATTGTCCACATTAACCAGCTCCTGTTCTAGTTTCCTACAGGGGACATTCCCAGCACTACCTCTAGATGCCAGGGGTTGAACTTGGGACCTTCTGCATGCAAAGCAGGTGTTCTACCACTGAGCTAAGGCCCCTTCCCTTGTTCTGAAAGCCCTTTGCAATGAAAACAGAATTCACAGCTCAAATGGCACCCCTGTCCCACGCAAGTGAAGCCATTCTAGGAAAACTGTCCTAAACCCATGAGCACTTACTTGGGAGTGAGAGCTGCAGAGTGAAAAAGTAGGCTGTGACAGCAGAATTATGGACTAAAACACTGGAGGTGGGGGTTAAATGTCCCACTATTTATACCATATGCTGTATTGTACATGTGTTGATTTATTGACTATGTTGCAGCCATGAGGGCACAGGCAAAATATTACTGGCATGCTACTTGTTTTTTAAACCCACAACAAATTAGAAAACAAATTATTGGGTTGCCTCCAGACAACCTGTTTATTGAGGGTTCATCCCAATTTGTTTCCGCTGAAGTTATACGATTTCTAACCTGGATAGCTCAGTTGGTTAGAGCATGATGCCGATAATGCCAAGGTTGCAGGTTTGATTCCCCGTATGGGACAGCTGCATATTCCTGCCTTGCAGGGGGTTGAACTAGATGATCCTCAGGGTGCCTTCCAACTCTAGGATTCTATTATCTATGGTTGCTACCTCACCCTTTCTAGTGCATTTCCCCATCACTTTCTACTGCAAAAAGTCACTTTGTTCTTTACGCGCCTTTGCTGAAAAAGAGCACAGAATCTGACTTCAATTGTGCAAGCCCGTTCTGTCCCTCCCACAAAATAATGGGAGCTTGGAGCTCAAATGAGGGCCCACCTAAAAGAAAGTTAGTAGCGATGGGCATGTTATCATTTTCTAGTGCCTGAGAAGGATTGCAACATTGTAGAAGAGTGTATGTTTTGCATGCAAAAGATTCAATCCTTAGCATCTCCAGATGTGGTTTCCTTGCTTTGGAATCGCGGAGAGAAATCATGCCAAGCCAATACTGAACTTGATGATATTACACCGCAGAAGCATCCTCCTTTGTTTCTATGAGAGAAATTAACTCCACATTTTCCCCCTTCTTTAATAGTCCCTTTGTTTTCTGGAGATACGCGGTCTCCACATAAATACGCGCGCGCGCTCGCGTCTTTCGTTTTCTCCTCGGTCAAGGTTTTAAACCAAACTGGTTTGATTTGCATCTTGCGAAGCAGGCAAGCATTGGTGCAACCCGAATTTTAACAATCAGACTAAGTATCTCGCCATTTATCAGCCCTGTAAAATTTACGCAGGGTCACACAGGTTCTCTTGCGCAGGTTAAGGAAAAACGAACCAGCTGCGCCAGGGAAATGGGCTTCACGACTTCCGTTGCCAAACAGATACTTTCCCCATAGCAGCCTAACAAGCTTCCTCCTCCGTCAGGCTTACAGACGGACTACAGCTCCCACAATGCAAAGCAGCCTAACAAGCTGCCACGTGACTACAATCACCCTCTCTTCTTCCGATGTTGGGTGGCATCAGGTCACATGAGAGAAGGAAGTATGGCTGCAGTGGGCGAGGAGGATTTCGCGGCGCTTCAGATCTTGCTGAAAGTAGGTGCATATTTCTTTATTTGTGGGCAGTTGTTGTTTACTGCAAGATCTCTCAGCTCTCATAATTTTTAATGATGTATAAAGCACGTTGTGGGGATGAAAGGGTGATATTGAAAATCAGTTATTTATATCATTCGCCCATGATAGCACTGCTAACGTCCAAAGTGCTGCACATTTTTTAATGTATCTTTACTATAACCCTGGCAGTTAGATCGGACAGGGACGGTGGCTAAAAAGAGATTTGTCGAAAGCCCTTCAAATGATTGAAGAAGTCCCAGCGAAAGATACAAAAATGGGAAATCAAGATAACAAACTTTTTATAAAAGAATGGAAATGGTTTATTGAATATTTACAAATAAACTGTGAACAGATAAGAACATTGGCAGGATTACTATAATAATCTGCAGTTTTATAACAGTATAGATGAATAAAGAAGTAAGTTAAGTTAATTTGGAATATGCAGAAAATGTAAAAAATAAATTTAAGGAACCACAGAAAGAGGGGGAAGGAAGTAAAGTTTCAAAATGTTAAAATGATTACAAAATTATTGAAATGTATAAAATAAAATAAAAATAAAATAGAAAAGAAAAGAAAGCTCTTCAAATGAGGTCATGGTGGAGCCACATTTGGAGCTCTGATCAGATTGAAGTTCACTGAAGTCGCTGTTATTTCCTCCCCTCTTTCAAAGAACCTGTTCATTAGCAGAATCGTGTTTTCAATGGGCTCATTCTTCCATTTGAAAATCAACCAGGATGCATGCCTAGAAACATTGTGTCACATTTTATAGGCTACATGGGTGGGATTTTTCATTGATGCTGACATGTAAGGTTAAATACCCTCCCCCCCTCCAAAAAATGGTAATATCCTTTGGATTGTTTAGGGCTATCCAATGACACTGAATGTTGGAAATTTAACATTTTCCTTCATGCTCCCGCAAAATGTAGTAACAGCCATCAACTTTGACGGCTTTAAAAGAAGATTACAGAAATTCATGGAAGAGAGCCGTCATGGCTAGTAGCTGTTGATAGTCCTACATTCTGCCACCCTTGTCAGAGGCTGTATGCCAATGTATGCCAGTAGCTTGGAGTAACAAGTGAGGACAGTGCTTTCGCTCTCTGGTCCTGCTTGAAGGTTGGCCACTGTGGGAACAGCATGCTGAACTAAATAGGCCTTTGACCTGATCCAGCAGGGCTCTTTTTACATTCACAATCCTACGTTCACAATTGCGTTCATTAAGTCCCATTGCATTGCACCTCCAGAATATATGAAAGTGCAGTTTATAAATACTTATAAAATAAGGTTGCACAGCTAAATCGCTAGTTATCAGTGAGCCATCCCTGAAAAGGAATTGAGGATAGATAACCGTAACTGGACATGACATTGATGGCCTTTCCTATTTCCCCACCCCCACCCTCAGTTTATGATATTAAGAGGTATTATAACCTCTGTAGATGGGATCCAGTTCTGCTTACATGGCTAATGGCAGCTGATGAGAGCTAGTTTTCTTTAGTTTGTGCAAAGATAAATTTGAGCTGCACCATATCCTGTGTTTTGAAAAAGCTCACTGTTCATTTCTCTTTCCCAGGCTTCATCAAAGGATGTAGTTCGGCAGTTATGCCAGGAGTGCTTTTCTAGCTCTGCAGGTGGTTCTGACAAACTGATTGAGAACACGTGTTCCAGTCTCTCGGTTACGCCAAATGAAGCAAGTCAGGTAAGATTTAGGCTGTAACCCTGTGCATGATTATCTGGGAGTAAGTCCCACTGAAGAGACATGTGTTGCACTATTAAGTCAAGTTGGCTTTTTTGACAGATCCTGATGTTTTATCGCTTTTTTATTAATAATAATATTCTGCTGCCCAGAGTGGCTGGGGAAACCCAGCCAGATTGACGGGGTATAAATCTATTATTATCATCATCATCATCATCATCATCCTGAGGAGGGAGGGGCAGGTTAGGTGTAAAGACTGAGCAGCAAGAGCTCAGAACAGGAAGAAGAGAGCCTCTAGCTCAGGGGGCAAGGAGAGATCAGGGTTCAGGATTAAAGGGCAGAGGCCAAATGGTGAACTGGACTGATGGGAATCAGGCAGCAGAGTGCATATATACAATATAGTGTGTTGGTGCTGGGTTGAAAGTGAGTGAGAGAGATTGCCACGTGTTGTTGACATGGTACCTGAAAGATCTGTGTGGTTCCTCTTGCAGCTGATCCGATCTTTGCACAATCTTACAAGACACACAGTCTATCATGGCCTGACGTCACCAGAAGAAATTCTCGCCCTCTTTCCAGAAGGATTTCACCAGAATCTTAAAAACCTCTTGACCAAGATAATCCTGGAAAATGTGTAAGTGTCATTGAAGCTGTTTTCCATAGAATTAGACCACTGGTCCATGTAGCTCAGCATTGTCTCCACTGGCAAGCAGGGTTTCAGGGAGAAGTCTTTCTCAGCCATGCCTGGATATACCTGGCATCACACCTGGGACTTTTGGCATGCAAAAGATGTGCTGTGACACTGAGCTGCAGCCCTTCCCATCAGGTTTGTGGTGTTGGACAAAAATACCCCCCAAAGGCAGTGGATTGGTAGGTTAGTCAGGCTTCACACTATTATCCAGTTGCCCCTGCTTTCTAGCTGGTCATTGGGTTTGGTAACACCAGATTCCCAATTAGGTGGTCACCATGTGTTAGGATTAAAGGCAGGCAGCGATGACCTGTCCCTCTCAATGGCAAGTGACTTTTGCACTCCCTGAATGGTGGAATAAGGCTGGAGCCCTAGCCCCACGTACATGGGAGTTTGCTCCACTGGAATTCTATAGGACTTACTTCTGAGTAGACATGGATCTGATTGCACTCTACATCAGATCATTTGCCCTCCATAGAGTACATTTTGGTTTATTAAAACTGAAGGGGCTGAAACCTCTTGTGCTTTGGACTCCTTCAGACTTGATGGCTGCAATATGGTACTTCATGTGGCAAAAATAGCTTTCCTGAATCCACCTTCAGTCCCTGCTGCTACTCTGTGTTTCAAAGACAAATGGTGCATATTTGCATTTTCTCTGCTCTTTTCAGCTCTGCCTGGAGAAATGAAGCACAAGCCAGTCAAAGTAAGTAATGGGCTTTGTTGAGGAGCAGTTCTCGTTTCTGAAATGGTTACCCTTGCATTTATTGGGGGTATTTATTAGGTGGTCTTGCTTCGGGAATGGACTGGATGAGAGGCACCAAACTGAAGCTCAATCCAGATAAGACTGAGGCAGTGTTAGTGGGCAGTTCCCTAGACTGGATGGATGGGAGGCTGCCTGCTCTTAATAGGGTTACACTCCCTAGGAAGGAGCAGGTATGTAGCTTGGGGGTACTTGTGGATCCTTTCCTGTGGCTTGAGGCTCAGGTGGCCTCAATCATGTGGAGTGCCTTCCATTAGCTTCCATTAGCCAGCGTGGTGTAGTGGTTAAGAGCGGTAGTCTCGTAATCCGGGGAACCGGGTTCGCGTCTCCGCTCCTCCACATGCAGCTGCTGGGTGACCTTGGGCCAGTCACGCTTCTCTGAAGTCTCTCAACCCCATTCACCTCACAGAGTGTTTGTTGTGGGGGAGGAAGGGAAAGGAGAATGTTAGCCACTTTGAGACTCCTTCGGGTAGTGATAAAGCGGGATATCAAATCCAAACTCTTCTTCTTCTGGTGGCCCAGCTGCGCCCCTATCTGGCATAGCCTAACTTCACTTGTCTATGCTCTGGTAACCTCTAGGTTAGATTACTCCAACACTGTATGCTGAGGGTTGCCTCTGAAGATGGTTCAGAAACTTCAGCTGGTTGAGAACTCGGCAGCCAGGTTGCTCACTGGGGCAATACTCTTTGAGCATGTTATACCGACCCTGACCCGACTTCACTGGCTGCCAATTAGCTTCCAGGCCAAAAGTGCTAGTTTTGACCTCTAAAGCCTTAAACAGCTTGGGACTGCAGTACCTCAAGGACCATCTCCCCCACCCTCAAATGAACCAACCCAGACCCTGGAGTCATAATCTGAGGCCCTTCTTCATATGCCTCTTCTGCGAGAAACCCGGAGGGTGGCAACACGAGAATGGGTCTCTTCTTTGGTGGCTCCCCATTTGTGTAATTCTCTCCCTAGGGAGACTCACCTGGCACCCTCATTACGTATCTTTAGGTGCTGGGCAAAAACGTTTTTCTGTAACCAGGCCTTTGGCTGATTAAGCATTCTGTGGACATTTAAATGTGTTTGCCATAGGGGGATTATTGGTTTGTTTTTGTTTTGTATTGTATTATATGTTTTCATGTTGTGAACTGCCCTGTGATCTTTGGATTAAGGGTAATAATAATAATAATAATAATAATAATAATATAACCATCATCACCACACTTACATAGTGTCAGTAGTGGCAGCTCCTTTCCTCGTATGTTCTCTGTATGAAACCATCTTTTTTAGCTCTGCTACTTACCTAACTTTTGACTAGCAACCTTCTATATAGAAAGTTTGTGCTGTATGAATGAGTTACAAGGATCTACATGCTATTCATTAGTAAAAGGTGTGGAATGAACACCTCAGCGACTAAACTGTGCCATCAGTGTGCATGTTATGAGAGGATTGGCCCCTGTCCCATGAAGCTTACAATTTAAAAATCAACATAGGAAACAGAGGAAATGGTGGAAATAGTAAACAGGAAAGCAAAATGTGATTGCTTGTTTGTTTGTTCAGTTAAGTGCAGTTAAGTGCTTACTTACCAGCAGAGTTATTAGTAGGGCGTGGGAATCTTGGTCTTGGTTCACCATATAATGTAGCAACCTTGTTAGCAATTATCCAGTACAAAGTTTATCCTTTGGCTGTGGAAGGAATTAATTTTTGAGCATCCTCTCTATGTTGCCTCTGGCTCTTCCAGCTCGCACATATGGTGTCTTTGTGATGTTGGACGAGAGGACTGGTATCTCATTCTGGCAGGGGAAAAACAAATGGTAGCTTATGCCAATACAAGGTTGACTTCTTTTCAAACACCGTTTTAGATAAATTCCTCCCCCACCTTGTCCTAGAGCTGTGTTGGCTTCTTTTTTTTTTTTTTTTTTGCCCGAGACGACAGAGAGAGAAGGAGAAGTGGACTATTGTAGGTGGTGCAAGGAATCTATTATTGTTGTTCATATAATGCCTTCAAGGTTCATGGTAGTCTAAAGAGTTTTTTAAAAGATAGGATGGGGAAATATATGGACAACAGGAGTCTTATCCAAATAAAGAGAACAAAAATGAACATCCGTTGTCAACTTATGTTTGTTTTGCCAGCAAGATAAGGGAAAAAAAGAAGAATTTGCAGAGTGTATTTTTAAAAACAAAAAGCCAACAATAAAAAAATATTTCAACAGGATACCAGCTAGGTTGGCTGCCGCACCATTGGATAAAGGAGTAAAAGGTGTGCAGAGAACCTGAACAAACTTATTTGAGTCTGTTCTCACACAATAGATAAGAGAAGCATATAAAGCTGCCTTATACCGAGTAAGACCATTGGTCAACTTAGCTCAGCTTTGTCAACACTAACGGACAGTGGCTTTTCAGGGTTTCAGGCAGGAGACATTTCTAGACCTACCTGGAGATGATGGGGATTGAATGAGAGACCTTCTGTATGTACAGCAGTTGTTCCACCACTGAACTGCTTTATGCATTGTATGGTGAAAAAAGATAGAAAGGGGTTGTTTTTTTTCCCTTCTCTGTGTATTGTGCTACTGGAACTTTGGGTCATTCAATGAAACTGATTGGACAGGAGATTCTGAATAAGCAAGAGAAAATGCTTCTTTATATCACAGATACACAATACTTCTTGTTGATGAGCCCCAGCTTTTTAAGGAGTTAAGACAGATTTATGAAGCTTAAGTCTATTAGCAGCTACCGGTTTTGTTGGCAATATGTAATTATACCTCTTTCCAACTCTACAATTCTAAGATTCTCTGGGACAGAAGCTTTCTGTTCTCTTCCCATTTTGGTTCCAACTGACATTCTCAGCAAGAGATTTCAGCAAGTGTTACTGAGCAGCAAAAGAAATGTGAATACAATAAAATAAAGATGGAAACCCCAAATGTAGTGATATTAGGATTTGGTGGTGGTTGTTTAATAAAGGCCATGTTAAAAATCCTTAGCTGGTTTTCAGCTGTGGCGTTGAATTAAAAAGCAGCTTTTCAAATGAGTTGCTAGATAAATTGAGCAAGCCTCAATTCCAAGTATGCTTGTTTGGAAGCAAGTCCCATTGAATTCAATGAGAGTTGGTTCCCTAATAAGTTTGTTTAGGATTGCGATCTGCAGAATATTTGGGATTTCTTGCTTCTTAAACATTTGCACGATTGCTGCTTTCTGCAGCTCTGTTAGAAATAAGGTCAAGGTTTTGCTCCAGGAGTCATCAGTCAAGTAGAAGTGTCCCTAGGGCACCCAGGGGCTGATATCCCATGCAGTATAAGGGCATCCTTTTGTTAGCAGGCACCAGAATTGCAGTCATGTTCTTTACATTGGTTGGTTTTCAGAACCTGATTTATTTGTGGCTGCTGATTGCCTACCCACAGTGCCTCTCAAACTGGAAGCTTGTCAGAGGGAAGGGGGATGATGGAAAGAGATGTTTAAAAAATGCACGAAGGTAACTCCTAGTCAGTTCGGCCAGATTGGATGGAGGACTGAGGCTACAATCCTGTATACACTTATTTGGGAGCAAACCCCGCTGAATGCAGTAGGACTTAGTAAATAGCTGTGAAGACTCTTTTTTAAAAAATGAGATCACTGTCATAATTGTGCTCCCTCCGTCAATTTTTCAAATGTTCACCGACATTCTTTTAATTCTGTTCTATTCATGTGCAGAATTACGGTTAAGGATACGGAATTTGGCACCCTGCAAACCAATTTTTTTTATTAAAAACAACAACAAAATTTCTGGCTCTTACAGATATGAAAATGGGCTTGAAATGTTGTGCATTTTAAAAAAAAAAATCATTGAATCATCAGAATATTTTACAATACCACAAAACAAAGGACCAAGTGGCAACTTGCCATTATAGATCCATGATGCATGGTTAACTATTACTTCAGACCATAAAAAAGGTTCGATCAAGAAAATGGGAGTATTGTTTTCATAGAATCAGAGAGGACTAATAGTAGTGAGTATGCACATGTAATCAGTGCTAAATTTACATTGCATGGATAACCTTGGGACTGGATTTCTTAATCGCATTGTGTTGGAGCTCTCGAACATGCACTTCAGTATTACCTGGAAATGAGATTTAAATAAACTTTATTTAACAATGTAAAAAAACAACAACTAAAAACAGTCTTAGTGGTTAAGAAATCTAAGTATGGCTTTTAAGCATTGCCGAAACAGAGAATGATTACCCCATTGCTCTGTGGCAGGCAACAGGGTCCTCCTCCATCTTTTCTGGTGCTCCTTCCCTTCCTCTTCCAGTAACAACATACAGACAACCACATGGCAATCTTGGGGACACCTTGCCTAGTCTGAATTCTCTTCAGAGCTCTGGGGGCTAAAGTGGAGAGTTCTTGCTCTGTTGTTGTTGGTGGTGCTGCTGTTGTCATTTTAACAGGCTGAGCCAGACCCTTCTTGTCTCTGCTTGAAGAGAAGCCTTGTCTGACCTTTAGCATTCTCAAGGGAAATGGGGCTCTTTTTAGCCAGCTTGATTCTTATTTATGGCTTGTCTATCTTGGCAGGATCAAGAGCCAATATATTCTTTTCAGAGCCAGAACATACACAGCAAACAATGCTGGAAACATATTTTAAATCCCCCAAATGCCAGCATGAAACGAGGTCTTGGGTAGAGGACACCCACATCACCTGCCACCTGATTAGGAATAGGCCAAAGCCGACTGACAGAGCACAGACTTTTTTCACCCCGAGACCATTATTTATCATAATTATCCAACTTTCCAAAAATTTAACACTTCTTGAGATAGAGCACATGCTTTGCTTGCGAAAGGTCCCCAGCATCTTCAAGATAGGCCTGGGAAAGATTCCTGCCTGAAACTCTGGGGAGCCACTATGAGTCCGCCTTGACAAAACCGGGCTTGACAAAACCAATGGTCTGACTTGGTCCTGTGATCCTTTGAGCCATATCCGCCTGGGGTGTTCTGACTCTGAACTCTGGTCCCCCTCAACATGCATAAGCTCTACTGATGAGCCGCACTTCTTCCCAACCTTACATGAGGATGAAGTTTTATACAAAAGCTACAGTTTTACCATTAGCATGTGAACCCTTCCAGGTTTTTTTTATAATTTGCTCACAGAGATATCCCCTGAATAGCTCTGAAATTACCCCTGGCATGTGGTCCATGAGTTCAGTATCCTGATAATTACAGTTCAAAGGTCTGTGTGTTCATTCATTCCATTTTAATTCCAGTTTCCCTGCCCCGGCTTGTGGATCTGGACTGGAGGGTAGATATCAAGACCTCCTCGGACAGTATCAGCAGAATGGCTGTCCCTACCTGCCTGCTGCAGCTGAAGGTATTGTTTCTTGAGAGCCATTCATGACCCACCATGCTCTAACCAGTCCCACCTATCAGCAGTGTACCCAGAGGCTGAGAAATTATCTTAGATTTACAGCTTGTTTGGGGTTGTGAAACCACTGAGAAGCCACAGCACAATGAGAGGAGAGTTGCAAATTGTGAGCATCTGTGATGACACATGATTGCCTGTGACTGTTTTTTCACCCCTGGCCTCTAGACAGTTTCCCACAGCTTCTAAAGCTCTACTTGTACAATGGCTTACTCACGCTATTAGCAGGTCACACTATATCACCAAGACTTAAGTGTAAAGTCCCATTTATTTCAGTGGTGAAAATCCCATAAACTAGGTTGGATCCACACTAAGTGGGCTAGATCCATACTAAGTGTAGCTTGCTTAGTGTGGCTCCAGCCCACTGTCTTGATAGAGTCTTAATTGATGGAGTGGTGATTGTTCAGTGATGGAGACTTTGCATCCACTGCAAAGCAGAAGTACCAGCTTTTTGTGCATACCTTGTTTTATGCAAGAGCAGCAAAGCTGCATTCAGACATAGCTGGAAGGTATGATGAGTCAGCTAACCCAGAAGAGGGGAAGCATCAGGTTGGTCTCTGGTTAGGACTTCTGTGACTCCTTTTTTTGAAAGGTGACTAGATAAACTGGAATTCAAGAATGTTAAGAAGATAAAGCAGATGTAGCCAAGCCCTGCAGATGCTGTAGGAATCCAACTCCCATTAGCCCTTGCCAGCAGAGCCTAGTGGTCAGGTCTGGTGGGAGTTGCAGTCCAACAATATTGGAGAGGACATCTTGTTGAATAGCCCTGCTTTAGAATTTATGGCTTGTCCACCGAAACATCCTTCCTGGCTGGGTTTGGTAGAAGCTGCACATTGGAAAAGGCATTTTCTGTTCCTTAAGGATAGGGAAATATCCCTATTCTCTGTCAGTAGAAATATTAATCTGCCAGAAGAGAAGGAGGGCTGGGATTAAACCAAGAAGGTGGTTTTGATGGTGATTTCAAGCTCTGGGATATTTTTTTCTTTTTCAGATTCAGGAAGATGCTGCCTTGTGCGGGAATGACTTCACAACCTCAGCATTGACAGTAGAGTTGAATAAGCAAACACTGGACACTATGTTAGATGGCCTGGGAAGGATACGGGACCAGCTTTCTGCTGTTGCAAATAAATAAAGCCTTCTGGCTAAAGGATTCCAACAGCTTTTCGCATGTGGAAGATAACTCTCCTGTCTTGCCAACCTGGCTGTGACATTTTACCAACAGCCAATCTTTGGGTTTCTCTTCCTCCTCATAACCAAACATCATTGTTATTTTTTTACTTTTCAATGAAATGGCATGGGGGTTTTCCCCTTCAGAAGCAAAGACTTCAACACTTTCTTGCTCCGATGCCTTGACATAAGCTCATAATGACAATCAGGACCTCCTCTTGTACATATTCCTAGAGAGGCTCATAACTCAGCTTGTAGCAGGAACGAAGAGCAGCCGATGAAGCGGACTGTGTCTTCTGCCTCTGAAATGGGAGACTAAGAAGCATGAACATGGCTAATAGGCTGGCTTGCAGCCTCAGCGCGCTCTTGAAAGGTGTTTGCTGAGAAGTGTGGGATGTTGGTCTTTTCCTCCTCACTGAGGCACAGCATTTGAAACAGACCATCCAGGCTGCAGTGTGTTCTCTCGTGGGGCAGAAATACCTTGTGTGTGAACTTTTCAGTTCCAAGTTTAAACTGCTGGAATGAATTCAGTAGCGAGTAGCACCAATCTGATGATGGAGGAGAGAAAGTTTTGTCACTTCCTGTTGGCGTTAACAGGAGGCTCTGTGATAGACTTGGATGCACTGAGAAAGGTTGCTAATGGCAACTGGTTCCTGTAGCAACAAAGTCACTGCACACATTTATGAATTATTAAGCGTTTCATTTAAAATACAACAATTGTGCTAGATGGATTTATGTTTGCTTTAAATAAAACAAACAAACAAACCAGGGCCTTTTCCTTGTTTTTCTTCTGGTGATTAAGTTTAGCGTTTTCCTTTGGTACTTTGAAGTGTGCTGTTGTGGATTTCTTATTCTTATTTCTTCTTTCCCTTTCAACCCATGGGTTACATCTTTAAAGTTCATGGTATACCTGTATTTCCTTTTCTTTCTTCTGTAAGCTGTGTTTAACTGACCCTTTAACCACCCCTTTACTGCTACATGAACAGCATTGAACTAGGTAATCATAGAGTTGTAGAACATAAAAACCTCCAAGGAAGGAGCGTCCACCACCTCCTGAGGGAGGAGTCTATTGCAGCTTTTGCTGGTAGCTTTTTGCCCAACTCAAAGGTGTCCTCTCATCTTTCTTGCTTGATGTGACAGAGAATGGAAAGGGCTGTGTGCACACGCATCTGCACATGCATGTAGACAACTGGCTTTTCAATGGCTGGAATGTAGCTTACTGCCTTTATCCTGTATTTTTATCTTGTGAGCTGCCCTAAAATCTTTGGATGAAGGGCAGGATATAAATTTAATAAATAAACAATAATAATTTAAAAGGAAGAGCCACACTTTGTCTCTGGCCCCACCCACTGTTGGAGCTTGGCCCCCAGAAAGTTACTCATGAGGAAATGTGGTGCTTGTGCCAAAAAAAGTTTCTGCACCCTTGACCTAAAAGCAAGCAGGTGTCTTGTCTCCACTCCTTTAAACAAAGACATGAAGTTTTGTTTCCTTCACCTGAAATACATTCATTCATTTTTTTATTTTGGCATTCAGTGTGTTAATTCTACGCTATTAATTACATAGTTTTCCCTGCATCCTACCCTCTTTGTGGACAGTTTTGTACATAAAATGGCTGGCTGATTTATTTTCTGCAAAGCCTTGTGTGGCTGGAATTGCTCGAGCGTTATTGAATAGCTGTCGCCCACTCAATGTAACTTGATTAAGGTTTAATAATTCAGCTGCCGATGGGCTCGCTGCTTTCCAGCAGCCACAGTGCAGATACCCACCGTCAGGCTGGCAGGCTCGGCTCCTTCCCAAGCAGGGCTCTCTCTCTCTCCGCTTCCCATGTTATCTGTATCCTACGGCAATTTTAGAGGCGGTTAATCGCAATAATACGTTGTGTTTATATGGCATCCATTCAACAGCTATTAAGCCCGCCGTACAAATGGGGGAAGCCGAACTGCAGGAGCTGCGAAGTGCTTTATCAGAGCCTCTGTTCCTGTAAATCAGCTGCAGCATCGCAGAGGCAGAATTGGGAAGCGCAGATCAGAAAAGTTACGTGCCTTGGAGGGCTACAGTTGCTGGGTCCCACAGGTAGGGAGAGGCTTGTTGCACTTGGGTGCCGTTTGTGAACTTTACACGGTTGGCCACTGAGAACAGGATGCTGGACTAGGTGAGCCTTGGGCCAGATGCAGCAGGACTCTTCATATGTACAGCGCCAGCCTAACCCAGGAGACATGCACTCAGGAAGGGAGCTCTTCCTTGGCATGCCCATGGCAGTTTGCTCCAGGGTATAGTTTTCCGCCAAAGACCTGCCAACAGATGTTCCAGTGAGGAGAAGAGAGCATCTGTAAGGGGCTTCTGTCTCTTCCCAGTCCCTCTTAGTGCCTTCTGTTCCCCTGCTGATACCCCATGGATATCCCTCCTTTTGTTTGATGACTCTGCACTCCTATTTATGTAGAGTCCTTTTCTTTCTTTCTTTTGTTCCTTTTGCTTTTTTTCTATTCTTATTTACTTTTACAATAATAATCTCAATAAAATAAAACAATAAATAAATAAGCAAGCATGGGAAAAAGTGACCCCATTAATACTTTTTGTTTTGTTTTGGACAAGTAATCATAAATAAATAAGAATAAAAATGTGCACCCTACCACCGAGACCATTCCATTGTAACTATCCAATCTCCCAAAATTTCAACACCTCTTGTGATGGTTTGACCCCTTTCCGTTTTAATAGTACAAATTTTGCAAACGCCTTCCATATCTCCTCAAAATCATTTCTTCTGCATATTCCCCATTTTACCTTAATGGCACATGTTAATTTATCATTAATAGCTATATCCCACACCTCTTTATATCATTCTTCCATTTAATAGTCAGCTTGCATCTTCCACTTTCTAGCTATAATGATTCGTGCAGCTGTCAATAAATTTGTGAGCAAGTCCTTCATAGCCTGCGAACCTTCCACGCCATCGCAAATTGATAACAATGCTGTCTCCGGACTAGACTCCTTTTCAAGGGAACTCCAGAGTGTGTTCAGAGTGCTCTGTGATGTGTTCCTGTGCAGCACCTCACAAACGAGATCATAGTGATGCCATGCTTGCAAATAGTTATGGAACTGATAGAGCCCCCTTGTCTGTGCCTCCCTCCTCCCACTGCAGAACAGTTGGCTGACGTCCGCTCATTTCTTTAAGAGGTTGCTGGCACTTCTTAAGATCTTGGAAAAGGAAGCTCCATGCATGAAACTTTTATGGCACTGCGCTGTGCTTAAGCCATCTTCGTATGCATGCATGCACATCAGCCAATAATATTATGAGGAGCAAGCTGCATGTGTGTGATGAAGTTTGGACTTGGCTTTAATGAGATGGCAACTTGAGAGGCTGTCATCTTACATGGAGGTATTGGCTGGCAGGGGGTGGGGGGAAGAGAAAGGTGGCACATAATCTTTTCTGCTTTGGTTTCTTTTTCTGTCCCCAACCCTACCCCAAACTCTGCTTTTTCCCTCTTGGGAAATAAGCGGCTGAGGGGCATTTTTGAGGAGGCAAAGTTCTCTTGAATGCTCCTGTGTTAATGAGTGCAGCTGTTTGAGGCTGTTTTTCATTCTTTTTAAGAAAAGCGTTCTTTCCCTTCTCTCAGCCATTGTGTTTGCTGAGGCCTGAGGTAAATTGCAACAAGAAGTGTCCATTGCTGCTGTCTTGATATACCACTTTTTTCTGCTCAAAACGTGTGTGTTGGTTTTGTAGTGTGTTCATGCAGCACTGTGTTGGCTCAAGTGGTTTTCTTACGGCCTTCAAATTATCAGTTCTAGAAGCTCTTAAAGGACTGTTTGTGCAGCAGCTGCCAGAGAGTGCAAGAGTGTACAGGTGTGATGACATGGACTGACCTGGGAACAATCACTACTTTTTAAGAAATGCAAATATAGCAAACATGCACAGCTATTTCTGTATTTTTTAATCCAGCAATTCAGAGGCCAATGTTTTAAAGTCCCTTTATAGGAAATTTGCTTAATTGTTATAGGCATTTGCTTAAAAGTTTCCCATTGAAATGAACAGGAATGAAGCATTTAAGGCTGCTTTAAGGTCCTAAATGTGGTTACAAGGGAGTAAGGCCCACTGAGCACAGATTGTGTCTGAGTGAACATGGATTGGATTGCGCTGCCTCTGCCACCAGCTTTCATGGTGAGGTAGTAGAATACCTCCTTCTGCATGCAAAAGAGCCTCCCTCCAATGTTGCAGGGAGCGTTGGGTAGGATCTCTGAAACCCAATCAGCATACAGAATACTGAGCTAGATGGACCAATGGTCTGAGTTGGTATAAGGCAGCGTCATATCTTCCCACTTACAAAGGTCCCCTCACTGCTCCAATGTTCAGTCAATGAGACTTTGGTGAGTCTCATTGGGGAGTGAGATGCAAAATGAAGAAACGACGACAACAGGTGCAACTAGATGTTAATGTGGGCAGTCTGTGGTTAGGATTTCCTGCATGCTCTAAGATGTGAGTAGCAGCTGCCGCAGGAGAAGCTGTTGGAATGGCTTGGGGCTGTGGTGTTGTGCGGAAGGGTGTTTTCCCATTTGAAGCTGCCCTCCCCCTGCACTTCCCACTGATGTTTGCAGCATAAGGTGAAAACGAAAAGGTATCAGTTGATGGAGGAGTAAAACAATGGGAGAGCTATTCCCTTCATGTGCCGTTTTTTACTTACCTAGAGTCAGCTGTTTATTTAGCCTTTGTGCAGGATGCTAGACAAGATGCATCTTTGGCCAGACCCACAAGGCCTTTCCCCGTGTTCTTAATCACAGATCTCTTGTGCCCCATCTAATTTTGGCCCAAATTCAGGATGAGTTCAAACCACCCAATGACCTTAATGCCCTCTTAGAGGGTACTTTGCTGTTGCCTGATCTTCTCCCCCAATGAAATATGTTTGGAAGGAGGCATTTCTCATATTCTTCTGCCGAGCCATCAAGTAAGATAGTACTTCTGTGAAAATGTTCGGTGTTCCCATTTACAAATGGGCAATTTGTTTCTGAATGTTATGGATCAGTGTCAGAGTCGGCCCACAAATTTGGCTGATCTATGCTTCTGATCTCATCCTGCACTTCAACTGTATCTTACTCAAAATCTTCCAGGAGAGAATGAGTGAACTGGATAGTGGAGGATGGGAATGAAAAAGGCCATAGCAGTTTCGCAAAGCCCCTTTCTGCCTTGCGTGTTTTCCCCAGAAGATGGCACCCCTGGACTCTTGATTTTAACTGCATAATCTCATGGAAGCAGCAGAGTTGACAGTGTGTCTGTAGGGTGAAGTGAGGATATAGGAAGCTGCCCTACACAGAGCTAAGACAAGCATCTTCCTAATCCTGTTTTGTCAACACTCACTGGCAATGGCTGTATGGAGTTTGGCAAGTGTGTTTCCCAGCCCTACCTAAAGATTTTGGGACTGAACTGGAATCCTTTTGCAGCAAAGCACTTCCCCTACCAGGTGCCTCTCCATCTTTTGAATTGTGAAAGAAGGAGGAAAACAGAACTTATTTACTGCTTAAGAAAAAGGCCTTTCGCCTGAGATGTGGAAAGCGTTTGCAGTAGGTGTGGGAGCACACACTTTCAATGTCCTTTTGAAAGGAAAAGGAGACAGATCAAGGGCACATCTTCCTATTTATGCCCCATCTCAATGCAGACGCTGTGAGGATGGTCCTGTTTAGCAACAGTCATTTTAAAAAGTTTATTATTGAGCACATAATATATAGTTTTAAAACTGAAAGTAGCATAAATACAGAAGAGCACAAATCATTTTCCATCTCTA